TATTTGTTTATTTTCAGATATTGTCCTTTTTCTTCATAGTGGACATTTTCTTACAGCTTTTTCTAAATTATAACAAGTGTTGGCCTTTTTCATCATAGTGGATTGCTTTGTAGAGCATTAATAAAGCTATAGTCCTCGAGACCTGCATTTCTTCATTTGTTTATTAGTAACTGTCAGTGGCAGCCTTGGTACACCCAAGCACCAATCACCTACGTCACCCACCCCACACTACTACGGATTTTGGCGCTGCGAGCAGGGTCAAATCCTTGGTACACCCCAGCCCCAACCACCAATCATCCACCACGCACTACTACAATTAAAATATTAAACCAGCTAGTGTATTCTTAAACTCATCAAACAGAGATACAGTTGTTATGGACCCCGTAGTAGCGAGCTGCGAAAAGGAGTAGCACTGGGCGTTTAAATACGAGAATATTTGCAGAAATCTGGCACTGACTATCCTTAAATGATGTTACGCTATTTTGGCAGATCTATCTTTCCTCCACCCCTTTTTCCACACACATCGTCACAAATTTGTAAACACAAATTGTCACAACTTAGTGGCTCACACTCCGCCCTTGAAGCGCGTGGCGTCATTTGTGTGTGGCTCCTACTAAGATATGTCCCTTCTCGTGTGGTAGACCCGGTGACTTCTTATTTGACAAGCGTGATTTTTTTACCTCCAGGTCTTATGGATAAAGTTAACACCCTGAGTGGGTCAACACACAGCACTATTATTTTAAAATTTAAAATGACCTGACATGTAAGTTTAAAGTAATGCACAGTGCCACAGTGCATATTTGGCTTATGATGTTCAAACAAATGTAAATACGAGCTAATGAAACTGACCTGAATTACTTGGAGATTTAGTCTTGTCTCCTTCTGCAACTCTGAAATTTTAACAAATGTTAGCAGTCGAAAGCACACAGCATGACCAGTCAGAGTCTTGACATTCTTGGCAGGGTCAAGGACACCATTACTGCGACCTGTTACACTATTTGGTTCTTTAAGGAAAAAAAAAATCACTGTTTGTTTTTCTTTTTTTTTTTAAATGTAACATACGAAACTCTGGCAGACGGGTTCACTGTGCACAGTGCTCCCAGGTTAGACGATGACTCGACATCTTTAACCTCCCTGACCTGACCTGACCTGTTGTGTGGGTTAATACGCTACCCGTGTCGGTAGTGGCACAAAGTAGGCCAAAATACAACAGAACAGTTGGACTTACTTAATTTGCACGCTGTATTATTAGCATTGGCTAGCCGTCAAGATTCATGAGAATAAAATTGTCCTGTTGTCTATGGTGTTGTGTTATGGTTGTGTTTTACATTGGTGATGTTTTGGTTGTGTCATCGAATCGATAGCTGGAGAGAAAAGCAATTTGAAAACTTGAATTTAAATTTCCCTTTTTTTCCGCTTCCTGCCCCTCCCCCTGAGTAAAAAAAAATATATACACATATTTCTTTACCATGTTCAACCACATTTTGATAACCCTTTATGTTTCATACCCTGACCCGACACACCCGACTTCAGCTATTCACATCCGACTTCAGCCAGACACATCCGACTTCAGCCAGACACATCCGACTTCAGCCAGACACATCCGACTGCAAAAAGACACATTCGACTTCAGCCACCCAATTCCGACTCTGATCAGACAAATTTGACTCCTAACGACAACCAAAGAATTGGAATGCCAACCATGAGATTAAATCATTATTTGATGCACAATGTTCACTCAAATATCTTCATTTACGGTCATTTATTGATGTCTGGGCAGCACTTATTATGGTACCAAGGTGGTTACTATTAGGGTCTACACACAGGTCAAGATGTCCAAAGAAAAACGAGAGTGGGCCTATTTTATAAATGCGTCAGGAAAGTAAGTGCAGGCCCGTTCTTAGGCATACGCTGACTACGCATCTGCGTAGGGCCCCGAACGTGAGGGTGCCCCCGTGAGGCGCCCTCGATATATGTCCATATATTTCAGAAGTCCTCATTTTCTCTAGTGGCGGAATTATCAATATGGTTAGTGGTTACACGCTAGCAAAGAGGAAACATTGATGAAGTCAGAATGGAGGTGCCGCAGTGGTGGGTGGTGTTTTCTCCTCAGCTCGAGGGAACTCCACCCCCGGACTGCCCACCCTTCCGGGGCCCCCAACCTACGCTCCATGCTTAGGGCCCCCAAACTCGTTAGAACGGCTCTGGCAAGTGGTATTATGAAGTTATTTCAGTAGAATAATTTTTGGCGGGCTCTCAGTTGTATTAGGAGTAATGTACAAATGACGTCACGCTACTTTTTCGCCATTGTTTACCTCCCCACTCGTCCGTCTCAGCAGTCACCGTGGTCAAACACCATTGCCAATAGGTGGCCACCCCCCTGCCCCCCCCATAGCAAACAAAGAAAACAAAGCATAAAAACAACACCATCAAAACTACACACACTGATTAAATGATTGACGTCATTAGGGATGGCCCGTTACAAAAAAGTTAAGAATTTTTAAAGTAAAAAATGTTTTAAGTATGTTTTACTTATGTGCCTCCAAGAGTCCCACTATGTTTTACTTATGCGCCTCCAAGAGCCCCATTATGTTTTACTTATGCGCCTCCAAGAGCCCCATTATGTTTTACTTATGTGCCTCCAAGAGTCCCATTATGTTTTACTTATGTGCCTCCAAGAGTCCCACTATGTTTTACTTATGTGCCTCCAAGAGTCCCACTATGTTTTACTTATGTGCCTCCAAGAGTCCCACTATGTTTTACTTATGTGCCTCCAAGAGTCCCACTATGTTTTACTTATGCGCCTCCAAGAGTCCCACTATGTTTTTCTTATGGGCCTCCAAGAGTCCCACTATGTTTTACTTATGCGCCTCCAAAAGTCCCACTATGTTTTACTTATGCGCCTCCAAGAGTCCCACTATGTTTTACTTATGCGCCTCCAAGAGTCCCACTATGTTTTACTTATGCGCCTCCAAGAGTCCCACTATGTTATTCTTATGGGCCTCCAAGATTCCCACTATGTTTTACTTATGTGCCTCCAAGAGTCCCACTATGTTTTTCTTATGGGCCTCCAAGATTCCCACTATGTTTTACTTATGCGCCTCCAAGAGTCCCACTATGTTTTACTTATGCGCCTCCAAGAGTCCCACTATGTTTTACTTATGCGCCTCCAAGAGTCCCACTATGTTTTACTTATGCGCCTCCAAGAGTCCCACTATGTTTTTCTTATGGGCCTCCAAGATTCCCACTATGTTTTACTTATGTGCCTCCAAGAGTCCCACTATGTTTTTCTTATGGGCCTCCAAGAGTCCCACTATGTTTTACTTATGCGCCTCCAAGAGTCCCACTATGTTTTACTTATGCGCCTCCAAGAGTCCCACTATGTTTTACTTATGCGCCTCCAAGAGTCCCACTATGTTTTACTTATGCGCCTCCAAGAGTCCCACTATGTTATTCTTATGGGCCTCCAAGATTCCCACTATGTTTTACTTATGTGCCTCCAAGAGTCCCACTATGTTTTTCTTATGGGCCTCCAAGAGTCCCACTATGTTTTACTTATGCGCCTCCAAGAGTCCCACTATGTTTTACTTATGCGCCTCCAAGAGTCCCACTATGTT